ACACTATATCATTGAGAAATGTATTCAGTCCTTATAAAAGCAAAGTAATGCACGCAGAAAAGTAGCGTCTTCCAAAGCAGTCTAACAATATCAGCTGCATTATTAATGCATCATATTTTGCGTACATAGTGGTTAAGCTTGGATAATATTGCCGAAATCCTTCCGCTTTTGCATATCTACTTATAGAATCCAAAAGTGAATGTTTCAAAAATGGTACATGTGATTTCGCACCTGAATAGCACCTTCTATCATAGCAGAGTTGTTACAGAAAACATATTTTTACTACATTATAAAGCTACTTGTAATATATAAATGAAGTACAAATAGTTTTGTAAGTTAGTGAGAAATATTATAAAACCAATAAAAAAAGCCGTCTCATTTTTCTATTACAGTGAGAGCAATATGTGACATACTTTCACTGGTGTGCTTGGTAGCAGCGGCACCTCAAAATTTAACTCAAATTCAATACTTGCGTTTTCCTTATATCCAAGTCCTGTGACGATTTAGTCATATTATTAGAGCGCCACAGGGAGGAATTCCCCGCGAATTCCTTTCACAGTCTCTAGTTGATCTAATTAACTTGCGCGGTTAATATGAAGACGAATAAAATAATGGCTAATGTCAAGGTGTAGGTAGCTCCAACTAAATACAAAACAGACATGTCAGCGGAGAATTCAGCGCAAATGACCCACTGTCCGAGTTTGAAGTCGAGCATAATAAGTCCCCTGATATTCGTGGAAAGAAGTGATGTGTATTTACCAGAATATAGCCCAAAGAAACAAATAAATGGTAGTACACTTTGGATGAATCACCCTTTGTGTTTAGAGGAATGTTTAGTATCAAATTTGACCATCATAAAACTAAGGAATAAGGAGACAACATGCATATTTTGGCCGGCGGTTAAACATTCCTTCTATTTTTCAAATAAACATCTGCAAGTTGCTACTCTTGCCAATTTCATTTCAAACTGTTGCTTGTTTGGTTTTGAAAATCAGAAAAGAAGTAAAATCAATATATTAAACAACATTTTTACGCCAATCACTTTCGCCGCAAAGGTAGAAGAACACATTGGATGGCAAAAGGTTATAGAACAAGATCAGATAAGTTAACCAGAATGCAAAATAACCTGCAGTGATTGTACTTATTCCGTGCACTAAAACATACCAAACTTCCGTGCAAATATTGCTAGTGTTAGCAAGTTTATTAACAGTCGGGTAAAAACTAATTTATTCATATAATGAGCGAATCGGTGCTAGAAGCTATTTCCATATAAAGTTTCAAGATTAGCATATAATAGTTTGTTGTGCAAAATGAAATCTTGCACAATAATTACCATGCTAAACACAAGAATCCTGATCATCTACTGATTCACAATTTAGTTAGAAACTAAGGAATAACCATTGCAATTTTCTACACATGATTCCACTACAGACATATTAGGCAAGCCAAATGTCTGCCATTATTAACGACCTCGGTTAATCTTCTACTAACGACGAAACAGACAGATCAAATTGCACTTTCTCATTCATTTTTCCAAATATTAAGCCTCCAATGCATCGCACTGCTGTGGGTCCAGTAAATGGTTAGGATTTTGCGTGACATTGAAGTGCGAAATTGGGTAACTGACAATGGAAGTGTCTTCGTGATTTCACACCCCTTTGCGTGTCAAATCTCGCTGATAATTGCTTTGAAGTAACAAGACCTGCCTCCAGTAAACTAACTGCAGATTCTCATGGTCTGCTGTTTGTAAGCCAGTTTGTTGGAAGTTTGTACACTGTTCTAAATTAGTTTTATAAACATGCGTTTCACGATACGTGCTCAGATTAAAGAAATGCTGTTTGTTTCTAAATAAAATGAGAATATATATGACCTTTCTTAGCATACAGTTTGCACAGTTAACGATTTCGTGAAATAGAACAGTAATACGGTATTTCAGTGGTGTTGAATCTACCACAGCTGTACACTCTTATTTTATCTGTTACTGGCCCACAACAAAACTTGTAGTCATACCAGTAACACAATATGTGAAAGTTTCATGCATTAGTTAGGAGCTAATGAACGGTGGAGTTAAATTTACGGTTTGCTTACATTACTAGGTTTTCTGCTCAGCCTTGCCTTCACGTCACGATATGGCAGTTTGAACTCTACTCCAAACACGGGAGTCTTATTCACGAAATCGCCCGTATACATTGTGTCGCTGTGATGGTGAACATGGGTAGAAACAAATGACGGACAACTGAAGTCTTTGAAATCAACCTAGTCATGAGCAGTAGATGGCGGTACGCAGCGAAATAAAAAGCCACAATTTTAGCTTTTCTCTGAATAGATAATTGACATTCAAGCTAAAGTAACAAATAACAAGTAACCGTAAACTAACAGATCAAAGTTTTGTCCAATCGAGCCATTCACCTGGCGTCTGATGCAAGCTGAAAATTATAAATAATGTTCAAGTAGACTAAGTGTGAGTTTAATATCTTGCCTTTCCGTGTTCAGAATGGTTATGTTGCCCAGTTGGACAAGTGATATTACAATTATTTACTCATATACATAGGGAAATTTGATATCAGAATAGGTGAAACAAACAGGAAGATAAAAGCAATACTGACAATTGTCTAAGTTGCTGCATGCGCTGCCGGTCAACCTCGACTTGTAAGAGGTTAGTACAACATATGTTATGCGAGCCGTTGTATGATTGGAGGTGACTTAACACCTGTTGAACTATCCGCCGAAAATTGCTAGCACTCTCAGTCGCCTTTCGTAATGGAAATGATAGTGGGACGTTGCCGCTGATCTGACGTGATGCAATATCCAAAACGGTATTATAAAGCATTTTGATATGGCCACTAAGCAATAATCGCGAATTTTACGTTGGCAATAATTCATGAATTAATAGCTTAGAGATAATCAACAAGTCTATTTGTCACATAGTATTATAAAAATGATTTACATTTTGACAGACCTTAGCTGGCAATATCTCAGGTTATTCTGGGGAACCGAGATGTTCCAGAAAAGGCGTATCCAAACACTTTTCTCGAGAATACCTTTGTGGACATTTGTTCTCAAGCTGACTACACAATGCGCAAAATATGACTATTTCGGGGCCATCCCCCTCCTGCGCACACTCTGCATTTTAAAACACTTAATTTTGCTATTGGTTACAGCAATCGCCTCAGGATCCTTTTGCACCTCTTACAACGCATAGTGTTGATAACAATGTAGCACTAGAGCCATACAGCCTTCTAACAGACTGGTGCAATTTCTTTGAGAGGCACTTTTGTAGTTCGTGAGCAAATCACCCAGGTGGTAAGGATGTTATTTGTTCACACTCACTTGCATAGTTACTAGGCACACAGACATCGGTAAAGTACAAGGAGCTGGCTTCACATCATCTTGGTACAAACTGGAATTACGGTTAACTTGTAGGTCAAATAGACTTCATTTATGCCCACCATTCGGCAGTTAATTCACGGAAGAAAGTAGACGATAATCAGTCATCATGGTATATTCCACTACATTTCTCGCAGCCTGCTGCACGCACTCTGTAGCTTCATGTTGACGTAGCGCCCGGACTAGTTGGCTAAGGTAATATCCATGTTGGAAAAGTTTGGTTATTATCATGTATGTCATTAATTAAGACAGGGTCATTTTGCTGTTCATGCGTAACAATATGGGACTAATATAAGAATAATAGTGGCGATGTTATGCAAAACGTACGGGACATAGACTGTACTAATATAGTGCATTGACGTCCACATGCTAGTGTGATATACCTACCATGTTTATTAGTTAACTACAATTTAGTGCTCCAATACCAGATGGCAGAGGCAAGTATGCATACCTAGCCACAAATTATGACGGACGCTGCTTGTCCATTCGATGAATTTAGGATTCATTAGGAACGCACACTTTCGTCTAATCCTCGGGATTCGAGAACATAAAAGCATATGGCCACTTGTCGTCGAAACATGCGAAAGTATTTTGTGTGGTTAACTTATTTTTTGTCAAAAAGCATTTGGAAAAATAGAGCACTTTTGCGCAAATGGCTGCTAGACATGTGAGGCTAACAAATACGATTACTGCAGTTGCCATTAAGTGGCTGTTTACTAACTTGTGCATCTTACTGAGGTGAATAGCCAGCCTCATCTAAAATATGGACAGCTGTTGACACTATCCACTGGCTGAAGCTGTGTGATTATCAAAGTTCGATGTGTACGCGAACTGGCTAACACGGGCTCTCTACTGCACAGACCGCACTAAGACAGGCAATTTAAATTCACAGTTTAGTTGCATTCAAAACCACATTCGGTAACTTTGCTAGGTACTTCAAGCAAGCTTAACAAAAAGTATTTGTTGAGCAATTTTGGAAGCTAACGGTATGGTAATTATGGTCGCCTGGCTGAATTGTCTTCCGTAAGTGCCTCACCAAAGAAACGATACTGTATGGGAAATTACACTCATGGAGACCATCCAGTAATCGTGGAGTTTTGGTTGTTGCTAACATGTTTTTTGCAAACTAAATAATATTTGTATATTTAAGACCTAGCGTGAAACTGCTGTCGCGCTGATGGGGATGCTAACCAAATCCGTGTTAGACATAACTTCGTAGGCCAGATTGACTTTCAGCTTGAAATATCGTTCAGTTGCTGTTTCTCTACTTCGCGCAGACCGACCACGGGACAGGATTGTTTCTGGTTTAGGGTCAGTACACCTGACACACAGTTTACACAAACTTCACCCTCAGTGGGGCACAAGCAGCGTCGCACACAATCCAATCTATGGTGCACACATGCGGGTACAGGGCAATGTCCCATACTTTGGATAGCGCACGATTTGACACGGTCGCAAACCGCAGCATTTGAGGTAGCATGTTGGGTGCGCGCGTGTGACCTCTGCATGTGCAGTGCGGCTCATACATGTCAGTGCCGCATTGAGAGTTGGTGGCTGTCACCCAAAGTACTCGTGGTAATCACATTTTTATCATTGCGCCCTAAAATGATGGGCGACGATTGACTACGACACGAACTACCAGGAAGTTCATTCGTGCGCACTCGGCAGTGAAGGATGTGTCCAGTACCGCAAATCCAACTCGGCTCAACTGTCAGTCAGAAGAGAATGGTTATTACTTTCGAGGTGGAAATAAAGTCTAACTGAACAATTCGAAGAGGCAGTGTTGAGCAACTTGGTACCAAGCAGAATCATCGACAGAAATGATGTTTAAATGGTGGACATTTGTTATTATGACACTTCGTTCTGGTAAGCGCTTTGGATAGGTAATTATCCGTGAAATAATTTCTAATTTATCATATATCACTGTTGTACATACTAGCCACTTATACAACCTGCCAATCAAAATCATCTTTTTATAAGTTTGTATGCATCTAAAAGAGAGAAATGTCGTCGAATTTTTTTGCTGCTTAAAGCGTAGCCTTGCAAATAAGTCTGCGCAGTTTTCTTGTGCGACCTACAGGTTGAGAACTAGCACCTAAGTAAAGTAATGTTTGCATCTTGTTTTATACAAAAAAGCCACGGAAGCATACGGATGGTAGAAATGAATATGGGTAGCAAATTCAGTACTATGCCTAGGCAGTATATTTTGGAAACCCGCTTAGCTACTTTGCTAAAGACCAGCAGCGGCATTTAAAGACATGTTCAAAAAAGTCTGCTTAGGTTAAATGATTAGTGTTAAATAACGCAGCCATCACATATTCTAAACGAAGTATCATTTGATGCAGGCCAATTATAAATTTAAAAAATAAACCTTTTATCACTCGATGATGCGTGGCACAGTCCAAATGAATAATCTGGTTAATTTGCTACCTGAACTCCTTCCCGGTAAATCATCAAATAGGCGAATTAGGCACAAAAGTTAATGGATGGCTGCCAACTTCTATTTCTTCGTATTGGATTAGATATGTCCAACCGAAATACAGAATCTTAACAGCAGCCTGGAATTCGTATACCTAAAACACTACATACGACATATTCATGCTTTAATTTAAATACTGGTGGTTCGAAGTTGATCAAATGGGATACAGGTATCTAAAAGCTACATTACCTCAGAAAGCATCATTCTCATTATAATACAAAGGTTGGTAAATATAAAAACAAATCGGGAATGAAATACAGTAAAACCTACAAACTTTACCACTTCTGATCACTTCTCTAAGTTGACTATTGTTGTCCGGTTGCTTGAATGGTTAGTTTACTAAATTCTACTGCCCCTGGTGTATGGGTAAATAACTGAAGGGCATTTGATCATTTCTTTTTGTGCAAACAAAGGAACCTCGCTTCTCTCGCAAGCACTTTCTTACAATTATATTGTACCTAAAATAAATTAGCATTGCAGAATGAAAGCAACTCCATCTTTTGCTCCCTTGTCGGTGATGTCGTTCACATTTCATGCATTTAACGTGCATGATGCGGTGTGAGAAATGTCATTGGACAAAACTTTTGATATCAGTTGGGTCAGGATGTAAATTGCTTCGCAAAGCATTCAGATAACTCCTCTAGGTTGTGCATTATATCAAGTTCAGTTTTGCTTAAATATGCACGTGCTTGGAGAAGACAACTCAATTTTTCACAATGCGTGACCACCACTTCCAAGTCAGAGTTTTCCATAGTCTGTTAGACAGATAATCATAACCTAAGCATTCAGTGTTACCAAAGGAACAGGGAAGCTAAATTCTAAACTGTAGAAGGAATTATATAATGTAGCAATTAAAACTTGTCCGTTTTGCATCTTATAGTCCTGTAGTTGTGATTTATATATATATATATTAACCACAAATACATATATATGAATGCATATATGTATATGGATATATATATGTATATATATACATATATATGAATATACATACAACCGCATCCAAGAAGTTTAAAACACCAAGTTAAATCGCACCAAGTACACACTGAGAATTCATGAAGACAAGTGACCGTTAGCTAATTTTAACTCTCTAATGAATTACGTGACAATAATTGCAAAAGTCATAGTTGTTCTTTCTGTGTAGCTAAACTTTCCAACCACCTAGTACACTATTTGACTGTTTTCTAGAGCAAAGGAAATAATTCCTACGAGTAAAAGCCGCTCGCTAGAATGAAATAGTTGATCTTACAAATAGCGGACAGCAGGATTTGGTTTCTTTGGAATTGTGACTTTCATGTTTATGATAACGAAATGAACCAGTTCTTGGTCTTCTTAAACTAGTCAATGCTAGTATTTAGTTAGTTAATTGGAGTTAGTCGATGGAAATTAGCACCCCACTAACTCGTAAACGATTCTGATGACAAACACACGAAAAAAATTTGGCAAAAATACTTTTGTCTTACTAATAGTGTGAAAATTTTACTGAGTAATATGGAACATCTTGGCACTCCGTAGTTTACCACGCCGTAATTTTTATGGATTGAAAACCGCTTTAAGCCATTTTAGGTTAGATTAAGTCTTGGTTGATGACACTGTGTCTTTATTTGTATTTGGCATCTGCACTGAATTTTCAGCGTGTCTATAATGAGAACTCTAGTACAAGTAGTCATTTTTAAGGTTAAGCACCAAAAGTTATCCTCTGAGTTGGGGCGAAGTAATTTCGAAAATAACCTTCCGATTCCGCAGTTGTAAGTATATGGAGAAGGCGTTTGGCGCATGTGGCATCCATCAAGCAAACGCCGGGTGAATAGTTTTCTCTTACAGTGTGCCGAAACCACCGGCTTTTGCAACGTTCGTCTACATAACCCATATCAATCAGAAGATTCATCAATGAATTTCGCAATTGACCTCATTCTGATCTCCGGTTTTCTACGGCCTATTTTTGCGATGTATGTAATACTGGAAACCGCATTTACAACTTGATTTGTATTTGAATGTTTTACATAACGGTACTACTCTTTCCGGCAGACTGGCCGGATGCGGTTCATAAATTTTCATCGTTGATTACTTCGCTTTCCTTGACATGCGCTTCCGCTGATGATGCTTCAAAATGGCTGATTTCAGCTAAGAGTTGAACGTTGCATAAAGAATCACCCTTCTTTCTGCCTAAATTGTGGAATAATTTATGAGTTGCAGTTCATAACAGAAGCATACACAGTATGCAACATATAGTTAAAAATGCGATCATTCTGGTAAAGGAAGAATATCGGAAAATTAAGCTAGCTGAATACAAATACAACGTTTTAATCAAACAAGCTATTGGTAAGTAAAGCAGTAAACCAAGAGAAAATCGTTATATACGACATGACTAATTATTGTGCAACAAAGGTACATTTAGTTGAATTTGTTGCAATTAAAAATATTGATTAGTTGTCAAAATATCTACTTATGGTAAGTCAGTGGAATCCTGTGAATATATTACTGGCACAAATTTAGATGGTTATTTCTAAGATACGTTGTAGGTTCACCAATTTTATCTGCTTCTGAATTCCAAAAATGGTAGTGTAAAGAATTCATTTTCGAATGCGGCAATAAGCATACCTAAACTATTGATTTTATTGAACTGCCCTTATGGGGATATTAAAACGATGAACAAATGCTGATTCCATTAAGTAAAATCTAGTTGTACGTTTGCAAAGTGATAATAGTAAAAACGGTAAGTGTATTTCAGCCAAATTTATGAATTAAGAACACTGTGATTGTGATTTAAAAACATAGCTTTCAAATGCTCCGCCTCCACTAATTTAGACTACATGTAACATGTTTCTCGGTTGAGTACTGAAAACTGACACATATAGACCTTTAGTTCAAACTTAAGTCGAACCAAATTGGGCATCTTTCACAGATCTTGTAGAGCAGTCAAACCAGAAGCCTGTGTTTTCTCTCATGATGCAGTATGCAATTTTCCGAAGCTGAGTGGTTTGTAAGATGTTGCGATTTGCGTTAATTAGTATGCATCGATTTTACCCTTCGAATTCAGGCGTTCCTACTTAATGTTCCCAAGGTAGAACGATACTGTGTGTGTGTTAGGAACCAGTGGAATTTAAACGTTTGCTGAAACTTGTGTCACTTTATTGTGGTACAGTGGGTCAACCAATCAATATGTTTTTTGAGCTTGGTCATTTCTACTCTCCGAAGGCCATTAAGTATTTCGAATACCACATATATGTAAGAGAAAAAGTTTTGCTCCAAAAATGAACTCTACTTACTGCTCACCCGAAGTTTGCGTCAAGAACAATTTCAGTCGAAACCATCTTGCACAAAAGTTTCTTTCAGACAAAAGTCAGTCATCGTTTTAACATAACAGTCGCCCGTGTACGAAACCATTAGGTTCCACAGAACTAAATATCCATGTAATCAAGAATTTGTTTCCCAATCTGAGTAGAAGATAATTGCAGAATAGTTATTCTATTGAAAAGATGAAGCTAGTTTATTCGTCCTTAAACATTGCTCACATATTTTGTATAAACCTATTATGTTTGAATTTTACGGTAAAAGTGCTGCGGACATCATAGAAATTGCACATACTGGCATTTTGGACATAGCTTTCTTACTAATTGTATCGTAAATTGTTGAACAAAACAAAGTCTTTAAGGTAACATACGCAGGAAACCAAAGATAAATTCGCTAACTCGCAGACTGTGCGCAACTGTGGTCCCAGCTGCGATACATGATTTTCTGTTTTTATAGTACTTATGATGTTGTAACTGGTAATACATCTAAAATGTGCTAGGATGGATGTTTAGCTAAGTAGCCTAACTAATGTTACGGAATATGTAAACGTAAATAATTCGTTTGACAAAGAGATGCAAACGAAGATGTGGGAATGGAAGCGCCCAATGTTCCGCTGCAACACACGAGCTGAATTTTGTCCCAAAAGGTGCACATATGTACAGTGGTAGCAGCAAATCTAGAAGCCGTTAAACTTTGCAGCACTAACTATTTCTATTGAGGTTGGACCTTATACACAACCAGAATTAATTAGAGATATGAATACTTGGCTAATTTTAGCCGCTAATGTTTGAGTCCAACACACTAAAGTAGAAAGTTTTCAGCTAATGACTAAATCGATGTGACAGATCTAAACAGTTAACGCATAGGATCCTCACACAGAAGCAAATATGCGATTGCGAAACAGATGTTTACATGAGCTGTAGTACAATATAAACTTTTGGCTAGCAGCTGAATTACATGCTTAATTAGCTTATCGTATTTATTGTAACCAGGTATGTTCTGGTAGCTGAAATTGTGATTTGGTCTCCTAGATATCTGGAAAGAAAATCGGTGAGCCACCAAACCTGCATATCTCCACATAGGAATAACAGTA